GAACAAGAACAGGTTCTGTTAACACCGCAACAGGAGCGGTGGATTACACTTACGTTTGGTGCTATCAGAAACATTGAAACCGTACGCCGACTTTTCAGGAAACGTTTCACTCTCTCACCTTGCTACGATCCAGATTATACAAGTTTCAAATGGCTCCCTGAGAGGTTTAAAAGGGTTCCTTTGATGCCGGTACCAGTCCAAAAAAGGCGGGTCGCCCCCACGTCTCGGCAGAAATCGTTGAAAAGGTCAGGGTCTTTTTTAGGACCTTTTAAGATAACAAGAAGCTTATTTCAGCATCATAAATAGCCAAGCCCTTACAAGTTATCAAAAACAACCACTGTAACGGCTGTAGCCACCAAGAACTGGCTGGAACAGAAGTTCTCGGGCCGAATAATCAGCTGCCTCACCACTCGCCCCTGGCCAGCGCGAAGACCCGATCTGTCACCGCTTTACTTCTGGTTTTGGTTAGTAGCTCTCGCAGAGCTGAGGAAGACTCAAGTCGCATCACTTCGGGAGCTGAAGAGCACAATGCAAGGCTTTGCCGACAGTCTGGACGCTGAAGATGAAACGGGCTGTGAGGCACCTCCGGATACGTGCCGAAACGGTGCATCAAAAGAAGGGGCGGATATGTGGAATAGGTTTGAGTGACGGTGATATCATTTTTATATATTCAAATGTCCAACAATCGCGAATGAAATGATGTGCAAATGTCCTTAGAAAACATTGTTATTATGTGCATTAGGACCTTTTACTTTTTGACACTTTTAGTGAAACACCCTGTTGATGTAAGTGCATCAACTGTTGAACTGCTTTTCCAGAAGCATTTTACATGATAATGGTGTAACAAATTATAACGCGGTATGATTCATGATAATTTTTTTATGTATATACTGGTAGATTCACATGGTCTGGTTAAAAAAAAATTGCGGCATACCTAACTACATATGCTTTATGTACTTAATGATATGCATACGTGTATATCGTTCCATCTGTTCACTACTTATGACAACAGCGATGTTTATGCATTAGTTATAGACAAGGCCAAGCATGATTGTATCACCCTGCTTCATAGTAATGCACGATTGATTGTATGGGTGTTAGCACTTAGCAGTAGCTATTTGTCATACAAACGAGGTTTATATATACGAGCATTCAAATAATGCGGTACCAACCTAACGGAGGCCACCGGGGTCCAATCAACTGGTAAATTTATGTCGGTATCCAATTCATAGGTAAGAGATTGGATTTGCCAGATATGTCAAGTAAGATATTTTCCGACTAATAGAATACGTTTAAAGTTACCTAAAACTGATCTTGACTTGACATTTCATCTCACCTACTGGTCAATCTTTGGGCCGTGGAGAGCTCGATCTGGGAACCATATATAGAGCTGGGTAGGGGTGATGTGAGGCCTGCGGGAACCGATGAGACTCAGCTCAATTGAGAGCCGTGGAAATCTCAGCGCGGCGGTCAAGTGGAGCCTGGAGGGCTTGCCAGCTGTTGATTTGAGCGAACTGTGGCGAGGTCTGTGCAGTCTGTGGAGATCTCTATTCGGTGGTCTGAGGAACACCTCCGCCCGGCCCTCTGCGAGAATTCGGTCTGGTGATCTGAATGAGCTGTGGTCCGGCCCCGCGGTCTGGCGGAGCTGTTGGTCCGTGGTGAGAGGTGGAGGACTATTATATATTGTATTATACCTACATATTTCCGGTGCACTGCATCACGAGAGTTGGCACCGAGACTTAAGCCCTTTGACTTTTGTGCCTCCTCTTATTTTACTATATATTATGCGTTTAATTTGTATTACCAATAAACAGTTGGATGGATGGATGGATGGATTGGACTAGGCCCGATGGAATAATCGGCACCGTGGTTTGTGGGTGATCTCGTTCCGAGAAGTACGAAGAGCTCTGTCCATTGGAGACTCCGTCACTATGGTCTGATGAGGACGGGTCCGGCGGCTCGAGGGAGAGCTCTGTCTGGGAGCCCGTTGCTACGTGAACTGCGATCTGATGGCGCGGTGGAGAGCTCGACTCAGAGAAGCTCGGCTCGGTGAAGAGCTCGGCTCCGTGGAGAGCAGCTCCGGCCGGTGGAGAGGCCGGCCCTGCGGTCTGAGGGGCGGCCTCCGGCCGGCGGGGCACCGTTCGACTGCCAGCTATCGACCGACGTGGAGAGCGGACCGCGGCGGAGCGCGCCGCCCGGCTCTGCCCAGTGAGCGGCGGCCGGCGGCGCTGCGTGGGCCCGCCGACTCTGCTCTCCTCCTCTCACCAACCCACTCTCTCACACGTACTTCACATCGAGCCAACTCGCAGCCCCCGAGTCGTCCAGGATGCACTGACTTTCCTCCTGACCCCAGGTAGTTCCTATCTTCTCTTGAGATTGACTACTGCCAGCTCTCCGCCATTTTACTCCGTCTTTTTAAAAGTGCACGTTTCTCTCAGACTCCTATACCACCTATGTTTCCCATTTCCTCTTTTCAGTTTCTTAATGTGGTGTGAAGTCCTTCAACTCCTTGCAGTTGGCTTCTCCGTCCCTGGAGCTGCCCACACGCACCGGTCCCTGAAGCTACCCACGCACCTGTCCCTGACACCCTTTATCGGTCCCAGAAGCCTTCATCGGCCTGTGTAGTCATGCATATCATCAGTGGTTTCTGGTATCACCCGCTATTAATCCTCTTATGCATAGGGCCCTCAGCCCAATCACCATCCCATTCGTCCCTGAAGCGGTGAACCCATCGGTCCCTCGGCCTCAACCCTCCATCGGCTCCTGCAACTACTGGTCCCTCAGCCTCCAGTCGGTCCCTCGAGTTATTGGTCTCTCATGCCCTTCCGAACGGTCCCACAGCTCCTCTCTGCATCGGTCTTTGAAGCGGCGAAGCCACCGATACCTTAATCTTATATCGGTGCATAAAGCCACCGATTCCTCAGACCAATTGGTCAATGAAACCACTGGTCCCTGAGCTTCTCATCGCTCCCTTGAGTCATCGGTTGATGGATCCACTGGTTCCCGAAGTTACCAACCATTGATCCTTGGAGCCACTTACCACTGGTCCCTTTGTTCACCCACCACGGGTTCCTTTGCCCACCCACCACTGCGCCGGTCGTTTTGATCACTAACCACTGCGCCCGTCCCCAGGGCTCTCTCTAGTCTCTACCCTTCCTTTTGGCCACCCGCCGCCATCGGTCCCGGTACCCCTCCGCCGATCCCTTTGGAGATCCACCATCGAACCTTTTGGCCACCCACCACGGTCTCTTTTGGTCACCTACCGCCGGTCCCTTACGTCATCGGTATGTGGAACCCCATCGGGTCCTTCGACCGGACCGCCCACTTCCAGTCCCTGGAATTCCCCTAACCCATCCCTTTGACCACCCATGATCGGTCCCTATAGGACTCCGTCTACCCGTACCTTTGACCACCCACCACCGGTCCCTTTCACCACCCACCACCGGTCCCTTTCGCAAGCCACCACCGGTCCCTGGGACGCCCTCTACCTAACCCTTAAACACCCACCATCGGTCCTTTTCACCACCCACCATCGGTCCTTTTGACCACCCACCATCCGTCCCTTAAAACACCCACCACCGGTCCCTTTCACCACCCACCACCGGCCCCTTTCGTCAACCACCAACGGTCCATTTCACCACCCACCACCGGTCCCTGGGACGCCCTCTACCTGTCCCTTTCACCACCCACCACCGGTCCCTTTCGCCACCCACCACCGGTCCCTGGGACGCCCTCCGTGGCCGCCGCCGCGTATTGATCCGGGTGCGGTGCCGGGTCCGACTCGGCGGACGGCGCGGCGGACGGCCGTGCCCGGCGGCGGCGGCGGCGGCGGCGGCGGCGGCGCTCCATCTGCCGTGTTGTCACGCCGCTGCCTTGGCGACGCGACCCGGCCGGCCTGGCGTGACAGCCAGCACCGGCTGTCGTGTCCCACACGGCTACTACACACTACCGGGAACGTGTGACCGCGCCCGGGGAGGGGCGAGTACATGCCGACGAACAGCCGGTGAACGGGGTCAGTGCAGTCTGGGCGGGGCGAGTCGGTGCGGTAGTGAGTCAGTGACGTTCGATGGGACTTGTACGGGGAGGGGAGGGGAGAATGTGCTTGGTCAACAATAGACTGGGCACTGGGCACTGGGCAGGGTCAGCAGTTACCACGATGGCACTATCAGTGGGCAGAGTAAACACTCTGTAGTCGCACGGTCGTGGTGCGCTGGACACTGGACAAGTGAGAGGGATTCGCAGTCAGCACAGCGGCATAGCCAGCCTGGGGGAATGAATGGTATTGGAGTAGATATTTAATTTGTTCCTCTCCATGATTGATAAAACTCTCACCAATAAATGGCTTTAGCAGACCGCCATAGTTACTTTTAACGTATGTCGAATTTCGAAACGCTACTTAATCCTTAGAATTTCATTCATAAAAATGAAATAAACAGCATATTTAGTTAGCTAATCACGTGTTGGATTTAGTACGTGTTGTCTCTGCTCTTTTCTGTATCGCTCTTAGCGTCTAGACTCCCGTCCAGGCTCAGTAGCTTCTCCATTGCATGTTACGTGTTGGTGTGGTTTCAACGCTTATTTAGGTATGTCCTTCCTCACTCGATACTTTCACTTAATGTGGCCCTATCTGCTGATGAGATCGGACAAAACTATGCCGTACTTATAGAGGCACACGCTCGGTGACACCCTGGTACTTCCGTCGCAGCATGTATGTGTTGCTACTGCACTATTCTATATCGATGTCGCATGGTCTGTTCCTCTCCGATTGCCTCCAGAAGCACCGCCGAAGATCGATGTTCAACTAGTTGTGACCACTGTCCCTGGTCGTAGCGATAGTTGCATGCCTCGCAGTGTGGTCTGCTTCCGCTCGCTGTGGCCTCAGGACCGGTCGGGTGACGACTGCTGCTCTGGAGATCTCCGAGCAGCCAGCAGTCGGTGGGACGGGCCAGTCGACCAGTCGCGCCGCTCCCCTGCCTGACGCCGTGTATCGCCCCTTTCAGTTCGGCATGCCGGTCGGCGGCGGCCAGTTTGGTGGCGGCGGCGGTCCGCAGCCGAGCCCATTCACTGCTCGGATGGCCAGCCCGGTACCGCCCGTCCAGCAGCACCAGCAGCACCAGCAGCACCAGCAGCACCAGCAGAACCAGCAGCAGCAGCCGCGGCTGGCGCTGTCGGGCCAGCAGCCCTCCGCGTTTGCCTCCGTTCCGGCGCCGGCGACGGTCGGCGGCGGGTTGATGCGAGGCGCCGCTGGCGTACCCAACCGGCCGGCGCTCGCTACTGGTCACAACGGCTCTCTGGGACCAGGGGCAGGTCTGCGAGGCTACCCCGGCGAACCCCCGAGACAGCCGGGCGTCCGTCCGGCGGGCCCCGGCCAGGGTTACCCGCCGGCCAGCCAGCCCCCAGCCGCTCAGGGTTACCCGGGCAGCCAGAGTGGCTACCCGAGCACCTCTGACGGCTACTCGACGGCCAACCACCAGGGCTACCCGGGTTCTCAGCAGGGGGCCGGCTACCCTCCGACGGACGGTAGCCAGTGGCCGGGCCAGGCCGGAGTCGACAGCGTGCCGGCTATGAACGGCCCCGTCCTGGCGCCGTCGAGCGCCGACGTGTCGCTCGTCAGCGCTGGCCAGGTGAGCGGACTCCAGCAAATCAGCGCGCCCCGTCGGAGCCGGGCCGGGAGACTGGGCCCGACTCGGGCCTCTGTAGGACTTGGCCCGGTCGGTGACTTCGCACGTATACGTCCCAGGCTATGTAGAGGCTCGAAATGAGGAAGAATTAATGCACATTTAATGATAGATATTTGAGTATGATTTTATGACGAAAAGGCAAGGGCGGTAGCAGCGATGGAGAATATGTACTTCCGATAACATATAACACCACCGAAACATAAGAGCGTTACAGCGATGAAATCATGTCAAGTTAGCCTCCGGGAAGTCATACAAACTGAAACAAAACTGGGATGAGTACCTTTGGCTGATAATTTTGTGACCGCTTGTCTGGTCCTGCTTATCTAAAATAAATAGAATAGTTATACTTTATAGACCGGAGACCCGTTACACTACATTTTTAATGATGATATTTAACTGTATGCATTAAGATTGAGTATTTTAATCTTCACAACAATGTTGGTTGATTTCACGGCATTTCAGCCAGTGATATACGGGATTCTATTTTAGGTTGAGCGCTTATACACATTTTGACAATGAAAGTGTTGTTTTTTGACCAGCCATTTTCACTTCATCATGACTTCATTACTGACACATTCTAAAACCAAAATATTTAATTAGTTTCAAATGCCTATAAATATGAGCCGGCATTTATATCTGGTGTTCAAGTTACACTATATGGGTACAAATGTAAGAGAATTAGACTACAAACAAAGTGTAATTCTAATCAAATCAGAATATGAGCAGCGATTATTGAATTCGGCCGCCATTTTACAGGGCCTTCAGCCGTCGTCAATGATCGACCAGACAATGCCGTCAGCAATCGGAGCTTCATTCTCACAACCGCAGCAGCAATACCAGCAGCAACTTCAGCAGCAACAACAGCTACAATCGCAGCAGCAGCAGCACCTCCAGCAACAGCAACAGCTCCAGCAACAACAGCAACAACAACAGCAACAGCAGCAGCAGCAGCAGCAGTACCTTCAGCAGCAGCAGCAGCACCAGCTGCAGCAGCAGCAACAGCAGCACCTCCAACAGCAGCAGCAGCCGCAGCAGCCCCAGGCGATGGGCACATTCCAGCAGCAGCAGGCGGCGTCTCTGGGCCTGTCCAACGCCACTGGTGCCGTACCAAACAGCTCGTACCCGGGCCAGCTGCCGGCCGACCAGGTCCTCTCCGGCCTGATGGTCTCCGCTCAGATGGCCGCTGCGCAGACCATGCCTGGCCACATGCTGTCGGCCCAGCCGCTGCCCGGCCAGCTGGGCCCGGGCCAGCAGAGCGTCCCGACCTACCCGCCGGTGACGGGTCCACACCAGCTGTACCAGCAGCCGCAGCAGCAGCACCCGACCAGCATGGCAGGCAGCGTGCGGCCGACCGGCGGCCAGGGCTCCTCCATCAGCGGCATGCTGGCCGACTTCAGCAGGGCGCTGGGTGAGTACACGCTCAGCAGGGGAATAGCCATCGACCATACCAAAACAGAAACTCACGCCGATATGCGCTTCGAAAGGACATCATAGCTACGCTATGCCGCCTTTTTTGTCAATTATTTGGGGTTAAAGGAACCCTTCCACCTTAACATTAGTTTTGAGTTGAGATAGCCAAGTTTGCGGCCAGGCTCAGAAACCACCATTTATTTTTTTTTCTTGTATTATTTTAATTTCATCCAGGTCGCAACCCCCGCAGCTTTATGGTGTTCAAGAAATTTCTTCCCTTTACTTGCAGGGTGGGACCAGCGTGGTCCCTATCTCTTAACCATTACGGGAATCTGATGACGTCATCAGGCTTTCGAACGTCCGTTAAATGTTTGACTAAAACGTTTTGTAGCACGCGGTGGTATATGCTGCTTTGCGCGCAACAAATGCCGCACTTTCAAATAAAGTCGCTAGGAACAGCGGAGATCCCAAAAAGTAAACAAAAGTAAAAGTCTAATATCTTGAAAACCGGTGAATATTTTTCGATGAAATTTGGTAGATATTCGTTTTTGCTCTTTCTGAACTGAGCGACATCACTTTCATGCCAATTCATTAACTTTTTTGAAGGTGGGAGGGTCCCTTTAATTAATATTTGTAAAACATCGTTGGTTAAATGGCCCCCGTAGAAATTCCGCTGCTTCGCCTAATCGAACGACTTGTGTACGTCCTCTAGCGCTCGTTTATAATCATTTCCGCTTCATATTTACCTAAAATACTCATTAATTTCATCCATAGGACCCTTTTTTCTTTATGCATGTTCTCGATAGGCAGCGACGGCAGCGTGGTGTCTGTGCGACTCTGTCCGGTCCGTCGGCGCCTGTTTGTCTGTCTGTCTGTCTGTCTGTCTGTCTGTCTGACGAGTCGACAGGCGGTAACGAGCAACCTTGTTAGGGTCACTGGGAGCGCAACACGATCCGGCCCTCCGCGGGCTGCATCAATACGCGCGGCTGATTGAGCCAAATTACGCCCGTAGGCACCCAGCACCACCCCTTCGATATGTAAATGTTAACGCTATATCTTTTAAAGCATTGCGTGCTAGTTTTCGAATAATTAAGAACACCATGAACTAATTAAATGTTTGACAAATTCAATGGGTCTATGAGTCAATGGGTCTGCCCCCACACCAAACGTAGACTATGGGTCACTTGACGGCGTTTCGGCTGTATTATTGTCGTCTGTCGGCCAATGACGATCTTACGGCCTGAGCTGATGTATGTCTCACCTCTGACCGTCTCATTATCACCTCTGACGCTATATCACCGGACACTTCCTGCAGGTCTGGGCGGTCAGACGGACAAGTCGGTGCCTCGCTCGACGGCTCCGGTCTCGGCCGCCGGCTACATGAGGCCCCAGGCGAGCTATGGCCGGCCGCCGGTGTCGATGGCGGCACCGATGGCGGCGCCGGCGGACCCGGCGGCCGCCCTGGACCCGGCCTACGGCTACCCGTCCGGTCTGACCGCCGAGCAGGTCATGTACCACCAGCAGATGGCGGCGCACCACCAGGCGCAGCACCAGCGCAAACAGCGCCTGCTGCAGCACCAGCAGCCCAACACGGCCGGCGCGGCGCGACTCTACCAGGCCGTGCCGACCGCCTCGCTGCTGCCGGGGTCGACCGTCACAGGTGAGTCGGAGACAGTGTGAGACAGAGATAAACCGCCCGAGACAGACAGTGCCGACCGCCTCACTGCTGCCGGGATCGACCGTCACAGGTGAGTCGGAGACACTGTGTGACAGAGACAAACGTCCCGAGACAGACAGTGCCGACCGCCTCGCTGCTGCCGGGGTCGACGGTTACAGGTGAGTCCGAGACAGTCCGAGACAGTCTGAGACAGAGACAAACGTCCCGAGACAGACAGGGCCGACCGCCTCGCTATTGCCGGGGTCGACGGTCACAGGTGAGTCCGAGACAATCTGAGACAGAGATAAACCGCCCGAGACAGACAGTGTCGACCGCCTCGCTGCTGCCGGGGTCGACGGTCACGGGTGAGTCGGTGACAGTGTGAGACAGTCTGAGACAGTCTGGGACAAACCTCCCGAGATAAGTACTGTGCCGACCGCCTCGCTGCTTCCGGGCTCCACAGTTACAGGTGAGCGGTGCCCCGGACAGACACTTCGAATAGACTGTTGAAGTGTTGAGTGTTACCAACAGATATTCTGGTACATACAGTCTAAGACAGACAGCCTGAGACACACAGTCTGAGACAGGCAATCTGAGACAGACCGTCTGAGACAGACACCCCGAAAAGGACAGCGAGGGTAACAGCTCGAAAGCCAGCGCCGTTTATCGACAGTCTGCTAACCGAACCGGTCAATACTGGCGGCATACATACTCTCATTACAGACATTACTAAATACATTGGTCTCAGGTCTGTATATTGGTATATTGGTCTGTCTCAAGATAAGGGTCCATATCTCCGGTCGTTAAAGCACAATGCGCCGATACCTAAGCTCGCCCGATCCCTAGACCATATTACGTTTTCTCGTAATGGACTAGCAAGAGACACTATTAGGGCTACAGACGCGTAGGTTATCTTACATTTGCCCGTCAGGAGGACTCACAGGAACCAGCTTGAGCTTTTTGTCTTAACAATTATTTTACGGTCTTGGAGCCTCTTATGGTAGGAAAATAGTATAACAGTGAACGTTTTTGTTTGGTGTTTGCAACGTTTTCAGGGGCATTCAATGAGCTAACTTTTGTTTGCTTTTATTCTCAAAGTATTCCGCTGCCACAACAAAAACTTTCCAGCACATTTAGAGCTCTGCAAATAGTTCAGCCGATCCCCCACGTAATCTTTCGTGACGTCGCTACAGTTCTATAAATACAGCCCGGCCGTCATCCGCTCGGGCTTAATTTACCGTGGCTGGGCCTTTAATAAACCGCATCATTTGTTCTCAGCGAGCGCTCAAATGAAGACGACCACGCCCATCGTGCTGGTGGCCAATCAAACGCCTGCTGTCATGGCAACGCAGATGACGTCTCACGTGGAGCCGATTGTGAGGTAATGAGGCCGGCGGCCGGCGGGGCGCCTTCCCTCCTCCCCCACCCGCGTGACGGGCGGCGCAGCGGTCAGTGTTGATGACGTCAGCCGAGAGATGTGTTGGTGATATGGGGCGCGGCTGATGCCTTGTGCCCATAAAAATTCAGGGTTTGTAAGTGCTGGCGACTTTTCAGTTTTTCATCTACCCGCCAATTATACAAATTAATTATGCTCACTTTATGTGGATACCGTATGTGTCATCGTATTTGTGAGGCTAATGATACACTGATAACACATTGTGCTTTGCTGAGATTCAGTGAGTTGAGGAGTGTACCGTGACAAAGTTGAAGTCTGACGACATCTATAGTGACAGAGTCGTGTTATTTGTTCCAGGCGACATCCAATCACCGGAGACCTAATTTATACCAGTCCGGTATTTATACAAGGTATGCGCCCGAGCCGAGCAATCAGCATCACAACGTTTTTTAGGCGTGGTAACTTACACGCAGTGTTTCTAATTATCTACTGTGATAGCTTGCGTACCTGTCTCAAAAATGACTCCTTTGATTGCATGTTATGACGTCTTAGCTGGTGCCTTTCTTTCTAAACATGGCTGAGCAAATAATATGACGGTGATGCTTCGTCTTAGCATTAGGTATCGGAATGTCATACCGTTCCTCGCATCCTCTCTGAGCACTCTATGTAAGCACTTCTTAGCTACCTCATCGCCTCTTCTAACTCTTCATTTACCTCCTCCTACACTTCTTGACCTCTCTGACTCCTGTCTCACCCTCTAGGCACTCCCGTTGGCACTCCGGTCACTCCTGCCGGCACTCCCCGAGGCCTGCGCGATGACTCGTCCGACACGATGAGCGAAACGGACAGCCAAAAGTCCCTGCGAATCCGTCGAAAGCTGCCATACCTGCCCATGGATCAGGAGGCTGCGCCGCTCCCCGTCGCCAGAAAACGCGACAAACACAAACTGCTCGGCAAAAGGTGAGTGTGATCGCTTCTCCTGTGGTCGAGAGCGACTCAGGTCTCCTGTATCTGCTCCGTGCCGCTGCCCAGAAACGTTCACGTCAACGATTACTTACAGTCGACCGAGTCTTTATAGTCTAGTATAATTAGCTACTGCGCTTTCATGCTAAAATTAGGCATGTTTCTGTCTTCAGAGAAAAGGTGCATAAGATTCTATTCTATTGCAGCAGCGTGACACTTTTCTATCTATAGATGTAGTGAAAAGGGTCATTGATGCCTACTGCTCAGCACAAGATGTATCAATTTCTTGCAGCTCGTCAGTCTTTCGATAGCGAACATTTTTTTTCATAAGTGTCCATGATAAGTGCTTATACTTTGTTCAACTTGGCACGGCTCCCCTTCTTTAACGCTATCTATAGAGGAGACTCAGCTGTGCTCGACCTGAGGCGAGTTAACAACCCTGAGAAGTTGAGCATGCAGCTTGGCGCTCCTCTTGCCGACCGGCTAACTTTTCTTAATCGGTATCGTGGGAAGAATGTCTGGCCTGCAAAGTTACCGCCGCGGAATGACGCCCTCCTCTGCTCGGCCAGGGGCCACGGCGGCCTGTACCGCCAGACGTCGCTGGACAGCGCGGACCTGCGGGAGCCCACCTCGCTCAACAGCCTGGCCATGGCGCGGCCGAGCACCAGCATGACGAACCTGGCCGCCGCCGCCAAGACGCCGCTGCCGGAGCTGCCGGCCCGACCCGGCTCGGCGCTGGGCATCATGAGCGAGACCAGTCGGCTGGCGTCGCTGGGTGAGTGTAGTTAGACTGAACAGGGAACAGCTGTGGTGGCCCTTACTGCAGCCTGGGGTCACCGTTCCCAGCTACCAGAGAAGAGTCAAAACGATCTCTGATATCTTTGGCTGTAAAAAAGAAGAAGAAGAAAAGCAGTCGACCATTTATCTGTGCCTATAGGTTATGACATTTTTGCTAGCCATTCCATAAAACGTAGGCTAACAATCAAAGTGATTTTATTAAAAATAATTATGTTATGCAGTTCGCCTTGCCTTGAGGTGCCCTGTTCCCCTATTGTGCCTTCATTGGAATGTGTGTCCTCCCGCCTGGAGCAGAGGCGGCCCGGGAGAACCTGAACGCCAGCATCGCGTCCGTGCTGCCGCCCGACCTGCAGCACCTGGTCTACAGTCGGCCCGGAGTCTCGTCCTCCTTCTCCGAGACGTTCGCCAACCAGGTGGGACAATTGGATAAGCTTAGCTTATTGACCAAACATCCACGGACTCATTTATGGACACCGTCCAATGTCAAGCGCACGGGCATCGTATGGGTGCTCGTTTGTATTCCAATTCACCTTCAAATAACCTTTATGAGCCCTGAAGATAATTCCGACTTCATTTCGACTGCACTCAGACTCGTCCCCGTGTGCACTCTGACATTTCTCGTCCTTTCCTCGTCTGTTCGACATCTGTACCCGTTCGTTCACTGCAGTCGCTCCCGCGGGTATTCCCGTCGCGTTCTGTCCGTCTCTATCCTACCGCCACAGCTCGGTCCGCTGTGACCCATCCGTACCAGCACCCATTCGGTGCCGGTGCCGCATTTTATCGCCGTCGCTACAGGCGTCGGCTAGCACCGGTATATCGGCCGCCGCCGCCGCCCGCCGACCCTCGTATCGACTGCTGAACGATGGGGCGCAGGAATGGCGACGCCCGGCTGGGAGGGGAAGGGTGGGGGGGTGGGGGGGCGGTGGGCGGCGGCGACGGGGAAGGGAGGGGAGGGGCAGTGGGCGGTGGGCGGTGGTTGACGGCGTCCTTGGCGCAGTGGGTGGCGGCGACGGTGGCAGTGGGCGGCAGAGACCGCACCTTGGTAGACCGGACGTAGTGGGTGGATGAGACAAGGCTGGTGATCTGAAGGCGACACCGACTCGCGTCGGTCTCTGCCAGAGAGGTGACCACCCACCCCGCTCCACTCTGTCTCAGCTGACGTACGCAAACAGCCTGAAGAACGAACTGCGGACCGCCTCCGACGACAAGCGCCGCCTCCTGGAGGCCGAGCTGTCGGCGCTGAATGAGGAGCGTCGGCGCACACTGCGCCAGACCAACCTGTCGCCGGCCACCCGCCAGAGGTGAGCGACTCGATTTTATTGTTTGTTCGTCAACGAATGCAGTCAAGCAATCAAACAAACTCAACCGAATTCCAAACTTCTGATGGTAACAACCAGACAGTTATGTGATGTCGGTTGTCGCGGAGGTTGTGAGACGAACCGAGCTGCTGTCCTTCCAGGATTGAGCAGCGGATGGGTCTGACGTCCTTCAGCCCGACGCTGCGCCGGCGCCGGTTCCCCGTCGGTCGCCGTCACCTCAGCGATCCAAAGCTGTTCAGCGCCAACGTCTCTCCAATCAGGGACGACGAGGATATGCTCATGGTAAGGAGCGAAAAATCGTCTCTGAACATGGCTAGAAATAGTTAGGGATAACTGCAGTGTCTTTCGTTGGATATAATAGCTCAAAGATAACTGTTTTGCGAGACTGTGTAATTTGAGGTTATTCACAGCCGACTAGCTACATCATAGTGAACTTCATTCAATAGTTCCATTGCTGGATCAGCACACATCCAATGGCTTAGGACAGGATCCGTTTAACATTCATACTCGCTTCTCCTCCTCGGCCTTCCATCGCATCTGTCCATCACCTGTCGACTGCGTGTGACCTGTGTCCCCGCCGTCCCACCGCAGAGCTACGGCGGTGTGCTGGGCTCACGGCTCAAGTCGCTCGAGTACGAGAGTCTGGACGGCGGTCGTCTGGACCGGAGCGGCGCCGGCGGCTGGGGTGACCCGTCCCAGCCGTACATCGGCTCGTACCCGTACGGCGGCGGTCTGCGCGATACGGCTATCAGCGCCTACCTGGGCGGCGAGGACGGTCTGGAGCGGCGGCTGGCCGGCGCCGGCGCCAGGTGAGAGCGTCTCAGCGCGCCCAGACCGCCGTCACCGCTTCTCTGTCTCTCGCTCTCGCTCTCTGGCTCTGTCTATCTCTCCCCACGTAGTCCTGAATGTCACGTGTTGCAGCGGCCGGCGATGGAGCCCGGTCGCCGGCCCTAGTCTGTAGAGGAGTGTGTGTGCGTGTTTCGTGTAGCACTCCCTGCCGACTGCCCTTACTCGCCGGTTCGCGCTCTCCGCTCCCTTTAGCTCGTGTATTTTTTTTTTCGAGAAGTTTAGGTGTGTGAGGATGCGTCGGGTGTGACGTGGGACGAGATCAATTAGGTGCGTTGAGGAGCGTGTGTGTTTTGTAGTGACTGTTTTCATTCACCCATGTTTCCTATTTTCTATAAGCCACATATTCTGGATCGTCAGGATTTGTCGCAGAAGATATCGAACGTAGCAAGCCTAATCATCTCCTCTTCATTTCTTGCTGAGTTGTTTTGATAGCTGCATATTCGTGAGTCTTATCTGATTATTTTTTAAAGCTTTTTTAGATGCTTTGTTATGCCTCATTTGCAGCTCTTCTGTTTGCGGATTTTCTCATGCCTAGAAGGAAGATAACAATTGAAATCTTGTGACGTGACGTGAACGACGACTTAGTTCATGATTGTATCATGTTTGAGTTTTAGGTATCATATTCACCTTTCCCTGAGCTGAAGTTATCCGAGCTGATTCCATATCTCTGGCTCATATTGTCCCACCTTTGCTGTCGGACAACTGCAACTATAGGAGGAGCCTCTATAGTCTACATCCCAACTGAGCCTGCCCTGACCGCAATAACTGCCTAGCCGAGAGGCGGCGCCTGTGTCAGATCAGCCGCTCTCCTATACCCACTCAGCAGCTGTGCCCTCGGTAGCAGTTTGTTTTTCTGTCTCTCGCACAGGTCCAATGAGGGCAGAGGGGTTTGGGATGACGAGTTCACCATGTAAAGACTGTCTTCTGTTAAGGTACTCTCTCGGCGGTGTTTGACCGGTTTTGCCTGCTAGCTGCATCCCCCGGCTTGGCGCTGTCCCGGGCGCCGGGTCGGTCGGCCGCCCCCCACCCAACCCCCGCTGTCGTGGTGCTTGCCTGCCTGCCTGCCGCCCCTGCTCGCGTCGGCGGCCCCTCTGCCGTGCTCGTGGAGTATGTGTATGGTTTGTCTGCGCTTACTGAGGTCATTGACCGCGCGAAGACGCTCAGGGGATTGACTAGAAAGGTTCGCCTGGAAGCTGCATCCATCGCCAGGCTGATGCAGCTCCTTTGTCTACTTTTTCCGCCTGTCCGATTTTTTGTAGTTTGGAATTTCATTATTAACTATGTAAATCGTAAACTGTCATGCGATGATTCCAAAAATATGTACGTTTTGATTATCGCTTGTATTGTGCATTTGGACAGTGTCTGCGTCGTACGTTTCAAGTTCTACGACCGTTTAGGCTGTATATTATGAGCTAATGTACAATCAAGCGATTTTTGAAAATGAACTATTCATGATATACTTTAACATATGCATTGCTGTCATGTATATTCTGCATTTGATTTATCATTAAGTTTATCTATAAGCATTTAATTATGTGAATCTCTTGCCGAATGGAAGTGTGTCGTCCTAAATTTTCGATTATTTTATTTTTGGTGAAGTGAAAGCCATTGAAACTGTATACCGCTGTTCCCCATTTCTAGTGTGCATCGCTCGTTATGGTTACTGAAGCTATAGCGCTTTGTTTGAGCAATTTTGGAAATACTTCACCACATCGGTTGATTATATTTTAGGAGAAAGTTATTTCCATATGAATGTGGCGCAGAATATCTCAATCATAGTGTAGAGGGGTTTCACCTAACCGATTTGAGGAGGAAACCAGCTCCACCGGGAAGCTGTTACCTGTTTCTAATGGCGACCATGGTTGTGGCGGTGGTCTGCTGCTGGTCGGCCGCTGCGCCGGCTGCGCGTGTGTCAGACCTGCTGGGTCGCTCGGTACGGTGACGCTGTCCGTATCTTTGGTCCGGTAGGTCGCTGCAGCGTCGGCTCAGTGACGGCGGCCTGCAGCCGTCCGATCTGTCGCGCGGCTACCCCGGCGGCGACTCCAGTCCGCGCCACCGGCTGTCGCGGCGCGCGCGCAAGCCCCGCTCGTGGCACCCGTCGCCGTACGGCAGCGATGACGAGGACGAGCTGATTGGCCGCGACGAGCGGCGCCACAAGATCAAACAGGAGATCTCGCGGCGCCGTCACCACATCGAGGAGAACTCGAGCCTGCACGACGAGCTGCTGCGGCTGGCGCGGCTGCGGGAGAGCGCCGAGCTGAGCCTGAGCGACCGCTCCGAGCCGGCCGGCGCGCCGGGACGACCCTCCGGCGGACACTCGGTGCTCAAATCCATTGACGAGATCATGCGCGACGAGGGCTACGGTCGGCGTGTGCCCGACCCGGGCCTGAGCTACTACAGCTCACCGCCGGCGCGCCGGCCCGACCTGGACGGCCGCGTGGGCCGCAAGTTCTCCAGCTCCGACGAGGAGCGCAGCATGAACCGTCTGGCAGCTACCTTCAACGCAAACGAACTGTACTATGACCCCATGCCCGAGTATTCGTCTTACAGCAAACAGAGAGTGGACGCGACGGGCGCACTTGGCATGGACTCTGCGGCCCGGTCGCGTCACACACAAAGAGCCGATGATCCCAGCGCGCGCAAATTATACAAAGGCAAGTATGACCGGAGGTGGCATTGATGTATCTAGTGTTGTGCGAGCAACGCTGTTTGGAATGGTTGTTGGACCTCCACCCTCTCTATCCTCGTCAGTCTTGAGCATTGGAGTTCGGTGTGATATGGTTTCTCTCTCACCGCTTAGCTTGTCTAGTGGCCTGGCCTGTGTATCCAACGCTTCAGGTGTTTTTTGGCTTCATTTGTTGTCGTGCCATACCTTTTTGAGGGCGGCCACACTGCTCGCGGCCTGTCCGTCACCCGCGCCTGCTTCTTTGTCACACGCCGTAACCGCAGCGTGCAACTGCTCTGTGAATGGCTGGCTTCACTCTGCAGCACCCGGCCCGCGAGCGGATGGGACTCGACTCGGCCGAATGTGACCCTATACCCACACGTCGGTTTGGTTTGTGCCTTACAAGGGCTCCAGATTTGTACAGTATTGTATGGTGATTGGTTTTGTGGCATTCCTGTCATATCATGAACGAAAAGCAAGGAAGCACAAATCGCTGCCACTGAGCCGCACGCTTTTGCTTGTGTTGTACAGGTACCGGCATCTGCGATGCCGGGCTCCGCATCGCGGGACCGCAGGTTGTTTGAGCAAGCACCTTTGTAAACGCAGCAAAAACGCCCGCCACCAAACGAGAGGATGAGCCTTGCACGTGCAGACCGCAGTCGGTGTGCTACGGACTGACGTGCACGGCACCCTATTCGTCGGTCTATAGCGGTGTGCCAAATTTGAGTGCAATCGACCCGGCCGTTTTCGAGATCTGGAAGCGACACCCTGCACGTGCGCACGTGCAGCCTAGGCCCCAATTGACTTGTGCACGGCACTATTCGCCGGTTTCTAGCGGTGTACCAAATTGGAGCTCAATCAGCCCCGTCAATTTCAAGATCTGGAAGCGACCCCTACACGTGCGCTGGTGCAACTGCACCCCAACCGTGGCACATGAAAATACATACTAACTGACTTGTGCACGGCACCCTACTAACCAGTCTCTAGCGGTATGCCAAATTTCAGCAGAGTCGGCCCAGCCGTTCTTGAGATCTGGAAGCGTCAGCCTGCACGTGCACACGTGCATAGCGGGTCCCATCTGACTTGTGCACGGCACCCTACTTACCAGCCTCTAGCGGTGTGCCAAGTTTGATCACAATCGGCCCAGCCGTTCTCGACATCTGGAAGCGTCACCCTGCCCGTGCGCACGTGCAGTTGCACCCCTACCAAGACACGTGGAAATGCATCGCCTGGAATGTGTCTACCTCCATGCCAAGTTTTAGCGCAATCGGCCCAGTAATTACCGCGAGCTATTGCACTTATTACAAAACAGGCACCTCTTGGCTTTGCACGTGGAACGTGCGTTAGGGGTCACCCATATGCATCGAGAGTAGCACACTATGTGAAAGAAGGAAAAAAGCTACCCAACACAAAAAACCGCACGTGTATCAGCCCAGTGGTTGCCGAGATATAAGTCGTACAAAAACGTCCCCACGGCGGCCGGCCGCTATTTAGCAGTAAAATCGTGTCGCATCCTTCTATGGGAGGTATCCCCGTCACCTGTTCGTATACTGTCTGAGCAAAGACCATACGTTACGGTCCAAACTCCATAGTGAGGCGGACATACGAATTTACGAGAGTTTAGCGACGAAATGATTCACTTAATTGTTAAGTAATGGGTACCATTAGGTAGACCATAAATTTTATCTAGCATCTCACCGTAGATGCAGTAAAAAGTGCTTTACTTTTCAATGTATATAAAGACTTGCTCAGCTCAATCAGTTCACTCTGTATTGGCTCAAGCCGTATCATGCGAACGCAATGCAAACTAGAGCACCGACAGCGCAGCGCTCCCCATCTCACTGCTCGCCCAGTCCACCCGGGCCGCCGCCACGACGGCCCCCCGCAAGTAGGCATCCCGCACTGCACCGACAGCCGCGGGCGACCAGCTGACCGGCCAGCTGACCGGCCAGCAGCCGGCGGGCGGCAGGGCGCGGATGGCCGACCCGCCGGCGCGGCGAGGGAGGGGAGGAACGCAGCTGAAAGACCCGACTACATATATATCAAAGAAACATTATATGTAATCATCGATGACGCGACATAAATCTGCTTTATTGGGGTTAGCGGTGTAGTCTGTGATGCCATCACAATGAAAATAGGCGCCTAGTTTTGTACAGCATCAAATTCTGATTCCATAACGACTCTCGCTAGTCCATTTTCAATTGTAAATAAGCCTTTTATTGCGATGCAAAGTCCCGAAATGGTGCCGACGGCGGCCGGTCCCCCGATGGTACCATACCATAGATGGTAAACAGGTTAGTTCACATTCCCGCCGCTATGCGGGCGGCGGCGGCGCCACCTGTCCTCGTGTCCGCCTGACACCGTAACGATATAGGTCTGAGCTCAAATCTCGGTAATGTCGTGCTTTTTTACTATATTTCTCAAAAACGGCACCACGTGCAATAAAGTTGTATATATCATTGGAAAGAGCATCAAAAGTTGTATAAAATATCAACTTTTCACTTGAATATGTCTTCAAGGTACAAAGTTATTAAGCACCAAAGACGCTCCCATTGACTTTCCATGTTAAAATTTTTCATTTTTAAAGAAGCCTAAAGACAACAAACGAATTTGCACAGCTTAAAGAAGCATAACAACATGTTCTATGGTCTTTTCTCAACAAGTCCTGAAAGTTTAAACAAAATCGTATCATATAATTTTGTACAATGAGCGAATGAAAAAGTCTCTGCAAAAACGCCCATTGACTTAACATGGGGAGCGAAAAAAATTCAACTTTGACCTCGTGCAAAGACACGTTACGAAGTTCTGAGGGGTATACGGCGCACACCAGCGTGTACCCAAACGTGTTTGCCATAAAATGCTGGGAAGAAAACCACCTCTTCCTTGGCTCGTTTTTCCGCTATTCCCGATCGCGCAAAAAGTGTCCAAAACCCCGTTGACTTAACATGGGGAAAATGGAATCGCACGTGCCACGTGCCACGAGGTTTTAAGCGAGTAGCGACCGGTGCCAACAGGTAGATCGCCTGCGGGAGCCCATACACTGAAATTTTTAAGAAAATCGAGCCACAAGTTTAGGCCTGACCCAAGTTGCCCCAATTCGCGGCCAGACATGCAAAACATAGCCCGGAGAAGGACCGCTCCGGTTGTTTTTCAATAGAAAAACACAATTCTAACGAATAGTGTTTGTCTTTTCAAACAACCTGCGGTTAGCCCGGCATCTGCGATGCCGGGCTCCGCATCGCGGGACCGCAGGTTGTTTGAGCAAGCACCTTTGTAAACGCAGCAAAAACGCCCGCCACCAAACGAGAGGATGAGCCTTGCACGTGCAGACCGCAGTCGGTGTGCTAGACCGCAGGTTGTTTGAGCAAGCACCTTTGTAAACGCAGCAAAAACGCCCGCCACCAAACGAGAGGATGAGCCTTGCACGTGCAGACCGCAGTCGGTGTGCTACGGACTGACGTGCACGGCACCCTATTCGTCGGTCTATAGCGGTGTGCCAAATTTGAGTGCAATCGACCCGGCCGTTTTCGAGATCTGGAAGCGACACCCTGCACGTGCGCACGTGCAGCCTAGGCCCCAATTGACTTGTGCACGGCACTCTATTCGCCGGTTTCTAGCGGTGTACCAAATTGGAGCTCAATCAGCCCCGTCAATTTCAAGATCTGGAAGCGACCCCTACACGTGCGCTGGTGCAACTGCACCCCAACCGTGGCACATGAAAATACATACTAACTGACTTGTGCACGGCACCCTACTAACCAGTCTCTAGCGGTATGCCAAATTTCAGCAGAGTCGGCCCAGCCGTTCTTGAGATCTGGAAGCGTCAGCCTGCACGTGCGCACGTGCATAGCGGGTCCCATCTGACTTGTGCACGGCACCCTACTTACCAGCCTCTAGCGGTGTGCCAAGTTTGATCACAATCGGCCCAGCCGTTCTCGACATCTGGAAGCGTCACCCTGCCCGTGCGCACGTGCAGTTGCACCCCTACCAAGACACGTGGAAATGCATCGCCTGGAATGTGTCTACCTCCATGCCAAGTTTTAGCGCAATCGGCCCAGTAATTACCGCGAGCTATTGCACTTATTACAAAACAGGCACCTCTTGGCTTTGCACGTGGAACGTGCGTTAGGGGTCACCCATATGCATCGAGAGTAGCACACTATGTGAAAGAAGGAAAAAAGCTACCCAACACAAAAAACCGCACGTGTATCAGCCCAGTGGTTGCCGAGATATAAGTCGTACAAAAACGTCCCCACGGCGGCCGGCCGCTATTTAGCAGTAAAATCGTGTCGCATCCTTCTATGGGAGGTATCCCCGTCACCTGTTCGTATACTGTCTGAGCAAAGACCATACGTTACGGTCCAAACTCCATAGTGAGGCGGACATACGAATTTACGAGAGTTTAGCGACGAAATGATTCACTTAATTGTTAAGTAATGGATACCATTAGGTAGACCATAAATTTTATCTAGCATCTCACCGTAGATGCAGTAAAAAGTGCTTTACTTTTCAATGTATATAAAGACTTGCTCAGCTCAATCAGTTCACTCTGTATTGGCTCAAGCCGTATCATGCGAACGCAATGCAAACTAGAGCACCGACAGCGCAGCGCTCCCCAACTCACTGCTCGCCCAGTCCACCCGGGCCGCCGCCACGACGGCCCCCCGCAAGTAGGCATCCCGCACTGCACCGACAGCCGCGGGCGACCAGCTGACCGGCCAGCTGACCGGCCAGCAGCCGGCGGGCGGCAGGGCGCGGATGGCCGACCCGCCGGCGCGGCGAGGGAGGGGAGGAACGCAGCTGAAAGACCCGACTACATATATATCAAAGAAACATTATATGTAATCATCGATGACGCGACATAAATCTGCTTTATTGGGGTTAGCGGTGTAGTCTGTGATGCCATCACAATGAAAATAGGCGCCTAGTTTTGTACAGCATCAAATTCTGATTCCATAACGACTCTCGCTAGTCCATTTTCAATTGTAAATAAGCCTTTTATTGCGATGCAAAGTCCCGAAATGGTGCCGACGGCGGCCGGTCCCCCGATGGTACCATACCATAGATGGTAAACAGGTTAGTTCACATTCCCGCCGCTATGCGGGCGGCGGCGGCGCCACCTGTCCTCGTGTCCGCCTGACACCGTAACGATATAGGTCTGAGCTCAAATCTCGGTAATGTCGTGCTTTTTTACTATATTTCTCAAAAACGGCACCACGTGCAATAAAGTTGTATATATCATTGGAAAGAGCATCAAAAGTTGTATAAAATATCAACTTTTCACTTGAATATGTCTTCAAGGTACAAAGTTATTAAGCACCAAAGACGCTCCCATTGACTTTCCATGTTAAAATTTTTCATTTTTAAAGAAGCCTAAAGACAACAAACGAATTTGCACAGCTTAAAGAAGCATAACAACATGTTCTATGGTCTTTTCTCAACAAGTCCTGAAAGTTTAAACAAAATCGTATCATATAATTTTGTACAATGAGCGAATGAAAAAGTCTCTGCAAAAACGCCCATTGA